TTGAATGGAAACGTCAGCTCAACTCATATCATTGTGGGAAAATTCTACTACCAGTCCTTCATCAGCTTAGTAGAAATAGAGTGAATACATGTCATTACAGTGATTTACTGGTAGTCTCGAAACCCTACTCACTTATGAATGTGAAAAGAAAGAAAATGGGTTCAGAATGCGAGAGCAGCCACTATAAAAGTGAATTACTCGGAAATATGGTCAGTGGTTCTCGTGGTTCTCGAGCATCGCAGGGTCGAACCTCATTGTCACCCACTGGCTGTGAGTTGAGCGAAAGAGATGCCGCGCTGGCGGCAGGACGTCGTCTAATGGCGAAACTGTTACTCCGTGGGCGGTCAGCTCACTTAGGAGCCGTGTTCGCGACGTGCCGCGTGAGGTGTCGAATCTGGCTTCTGATTGGTGCCAATAGATTGACCTGATTTTGGGTCGGAGAGCAGGGTTTGGCTGATTTGATGTAAGGCCTTATCCTGCACGAAGACGATTGGTCGACAGTCAGGATGACTGAGTCATGCCTGCGCCTGTAGACCGAAGGTGTGACCTTCAGGCGTGACGGTGTTTATGCGAGTAATAAAGGTAGCATATTCGGCCTCAGTTGGCTGGGCTGAGTGATTCAACTCAAGACATCAGGCGGTGGTGAATAGGTTTTCGCATTGGGCACTGCATTCATAACGTGGCGTCAAGCGTCGGGCCCTCTTTTGGGTCGTCTATTCTATTGCCCACAGGCCTCAATAGCATACATGACAAATCATGCCGTGGTTTTTGCTTCAAAATTCTAGCCATTGTAGGTCGCTTTAGGTGCATTTTGTCACAATAATGGGAGCAGGCCTTACGATGCCACCCATTTCCATTCAGCTCTAGCTCCCAAAAGCCGTTTTCATCTGAGGTGGACTAGATTTTCTATCTCACCCGGGTCTTATCAGCGCCCAAAGGGAATACCCGTACCACTACCACACACAGCCGTGGGTGTCACTGGGTCACGGGACAGATGCAGTCAATTCAGGAGGAAAACAGCCTTCTGAGTAGCGGGACTCAGTGAACGGTAACAACCTCATGGGGTCTATTTATTTCATAAATCGCCTTAAATCCCCTTGTGTGAGCAGGGTTCTTACACAATATTTAAGTACCAATTCATTGAGATTATCTGTTAGTTGTCACGTTCCCAAAAAGGGAAATAACTGAACGAAACGGTTCACTATTCCTTCTCAGTACTTATATCTGCATAGAGTTTATTTTCTTCACTCAAAATTTGGTTCATGCAATCCAGAAAACTGTTTTACGCTCAACTTCGAAGAGTGCCTTCCCACTGGCTCGTAAAACTCTGAGCAAAGATCATTTGACTAAACAAATGGCTTTAGGACCCCTCAAATACAATCACCACTCAACGACATTTTATGTAACTAATCTGCATGTTATTTAAACATTTTTTTATTCTCTAGGACCGTTGTAGAGGTGACCACAGTGACGACCACCATGGCTAC